CCTTCTCTGCCCTAGGAGCTTGGGATGGCAGCACGGGAGCTTCCTTCCGGGTGCTGGGATGGGCTCAGCTTCTCCTAGGAGCTTGGGATGGCGGCAGGGGAGCTTCCTTCAGGGTGCTGGGACGGGCTGAGCTTCACTGCCGTAGGAGCCTGGGATGGAGGCAGGGAGCTTCCTTCCGGGTGCTGGGACCGGCTGAGCTTCACTGCCCTAGGAGCCTGGGATGGAGGCAGGGAGCTTCCTTCCAAGTGCTGGGACCAGCTCACCTTCTTGGCCCTAGGAGCCTGGGATGGCAGCAGAGGAGCTTCCTTCCGGGTGCTGGGACCAGCTGAGCTTCTCTGCCCCAGGAGCCTGGGATGGAGGCGGGGAGCTTCCTTCCGGGTGCTGGCCCTGTAGTGCTTTTATAATGTCTTTGTCAGAGTAATGTTAGCCTTATAAAATGAGTTGGTTTTTTTAATGTAAATTTCAATTTCTTTAATTGACATAGAACAGTTTATCTGTTTCTGTGTGTTTGGTAATGTTTTTCAAATAATTTGTTTCATTTAGTTATGACATTTATTGATAAAAATTGCTTACATTTCATTTTAGCCTTTTAATGTCTCTAGGATCTGTGGTGATGTCTCCAGTTCAGATATTGATAATTTATGTCCTCTGTCTCTCTTAATTTTTTTGGTGGCACAACAGGTTGAACCTAGGGCCTTCACACTGAACTACATCCCCAGCCCCCATTTTTTTTTTTTTTTTTGGTTTTTGGTTTTTGGTGGGTTTTTTTGGTACTGGGGATCGAACTCGGGTCCTTGCGCTTGCGCAGCAGGCAACAAAACCACTGAGCTAAATCCCTAGCCCTCCGTTGTTTTTCTGTTTTGTCTTTCATTGATTTCCATTCTATGTTTATTATTTTCTTTGTTCTTACTTGGGTTTAATTTGCTCTTGTTAATTTGCTTTGAAAACCCTAACTGCCTCAGCTTTTCTGAATTTTATCTCAGTCTCATCAGACTCAGCAAGACCTCGGGGCTGGGTTTGAGTTTCTTTTGTGTGCACTGGAAAAGCTAGACATTTTCTTTAAGCAGTGTACTTTGGAATTGTGGGAGTAACTTCGTTTATTTCTCTTTGAGATTGTAAGTCTGCACCACCAGTTGTCCACTGTCTGAAAAATGGTTGTTTCATGTATTTTATTGTTTCCTAGTTGTTTATGATAGAAGAGTGATTCCTGAACAAGTTAATCCTTCATGAGTTGAAGCAGAATCCCCATATAAATTTTACACTTTCCAAACTTCAGAATAACCTGAAGAAGTAGATTTTGTTCCTTTAACTTTCCGCCAGTTCAGCTTATCCTCTCCATACTCACTTTTCTGGATTTGTATTTACTACAGAATAAATTGATTTTATTATCTGTTCAAAGTATAATAAAATCATTTGCAATCAGGACACAGGACGAGTTCAGGCAAGTTTTTACAGATTCTGTTAGTAAGGTACAGGCACTATTTATACATTTTTGTGTGTGTGTGTGGTTGTGGTTTTCATTCATTGACTAGCTTTTATCCTAAAGCTAAATGACCTTCATTCTGAGCATGACAGATAAGATCTGTCTCCTTTATTCTCCTTCTAAATATGTACAGCCCTGGGGCATTGGACAGGGTAAATGGAATTTTGTTCTTTCAAGTTGCTTTGGGCTTGTTTTCCACTACTAGATTCAGTCTTTGTCTAAATACATTATATACAGTTCTTGTTATTATCACTTGTGATTTAACTCAGTACTTGTTTGCGACTGTTCTCATTTTGTTCAGTTGAGTGATGCTAATTTAAACTTTTTAAAGAGAGGGTATCACTAAATTGTAAAATTTCCCTGGCTGGGCTTGAACTTAACGCTCCTGCCTCAGCCTCCCATACTGCAGGGATTACAGGTGTTCACCACTATGTCCATCTGGCTGAGTAAAATGTTTCAGAATATCACCACCTAAAACATTCATTTGCCTGATTTCTTTCCTAGGTGGTACAGCTGCATGCTAGGGAAGAAATGCAGCCTGGCTCCTCTGAAGGAAGAGCTTCGCATCCAAGGAGTAAGACTTGCTCATTATCTTTCTGGTGTGGTGACTTCTTTTTTGTTTTTGTGGGGTGTTATTGTTTTGAGACAGGGTTGCTATATAGTTCAAGCTGGCCTTGAACTCACTAGGTAGCCCAGGTAGGCCTCAAACTTGTGAGGATCCTCCTGCCTCAGCCTCCTGAGTGCTGGGATTACAGACAGCCATGTGCCACCATGCCCGGCTAGTATGGTGACCTTTTTTTTTGGTACCAGGGATCTAACTCAGGACCTTGTGCTTTCGAGGGAGGCAGCAGAATCACTGAGCTAAGTCCCCGGCCCTGGTATGGTGACTTTTGATATTAGTTTGAGTATAGAATTTTCCTTTAAACCTCAAAATTCTGAAGGTACTGTTTTGGTTTGGTTCTTCAGTTTTTGTACGTCTTTTCTTTTCTTTTTTTTTTTGTTACTGGGGATCAAACTCTGGTCCTTGTGCTTGTGGGGCAGGTGGTGGAACCACTGAGCTAAATCCCTGGCCTCATCTTTTCTTTTTTTAAAAAAAATTTTGTATTTTTAGGGCTAGAAATAACTTTTTACATGTTATTAAGATATATAAAAATTGTAACAGCCAGGTGTGGTGGTGCAGGCCTATAATCCCAGCACTCGGGAGTCTGAGGCAGGAGGATTGTCACAAGATTGAGGCCAGCCTGGGTTACATAGTGAGTTCAAGGCCAGCCTGAACAACATAGTGAGACCCTGTTGTTAAAAAAAAAAAAAGTAACAGAAGGAAGATAGAAAGAAACAGGATGAGTAGAATGTGAGAGAGAAACCTGAAATCAAAAATCATGATGTCGCTGCGGATTTAGCTCAGTGGTTTCGCCACCTGCTGTGCAAGCGCAAGGACCTGAGTTTGATCCCTGGTACCAAAAAAAAAATCATGATGTCAGCCAGGTGTGGTGGTTCACACCTGCAATCCCAGCACTCTGGAGGCCAAGGTGGGAAGATGGCTGTGAGTTGAAGGTCAGACTGGATTACATAGTGAGCTCAAAGTCAGCCTGAACTACATACCCTAGTGAGATCCTGTCTCAAAAAACAAAAACAAAACAACCCCCCAAATCTACCACAGACTTCACATCTGACTTTTTATAAATATAGAAACTAAAGGCTAGAGAGCTTAGGGTCTTGCTGTAGGCTACACCGCTAGTTGTTGAAAATCAGCTAGAACCAGAATACTGCCATAGTCCATTGTACTTCCAGCTAGGGTAAGTCTCTGTACCATTTGCCTCTTGATCCTGTTCTAAAAGACAGATTGAAGATAAATCCTCCCTGTACCACCTCCCTCCCAGTGTGTGGTGTTTGGCATGAGTAGGCGACGCCTTTCAGTGATGAGGGTCAGTGGTAGAAACCAAGTTTGTGTTGCTAGCTCACTCACTAAACAACTGCTCTACCACTGAGCAGAAACCAAGTTCCTATCACTGTTTACTCTTAGACATTCTACTCATCCTGTTTTACCCAAACAGTGTTTCTTGGTAAGATTATACAAGCTACAAAGTGGTTCCTTTTTCTTTCCTAAAATGTGATAAGATTCCATAGCTGTGTATATCCAGGCTTGGATTGGCTCTCTCTCTTTTTTTTTTTTTTTGGTACTGGGGATCGAACTTGGGACCTTGCGTTTTCGAGGCAGGCAGCCGAACCACTGAGCTAAATCCCCAGCTGATTGGCTATCTTTGTTAAAAAAGAAGGCAGAAACAACTTGAATCATTTTATAAATGATTGTCCAAAGAGTAGTTTTAGGTGTTTCTTCTGATTAGACTTTTGAGTTACATTTTAAAATCCTCTTTGATATTTTACTGGAGGAAAATTTTTCATTGAGTTTTTTTATTGATTATTATATAGCTATGTATAACTGGTTTTTTAAAATGATATTGTTTAATTAAAAAGAAGGACTAACAGATAATTTTTGGGGGGTGGTACGGGGGTTTGAACTCGGGTCCTTGCGCTTGGAAGGCAGGCTCCGGAACCACTGAGCTAAATCCCCGGCCCAACTAACAGATAATTTAACAGGCGGCAGTAGCTAGAAATATCAGCACGACAACTTCATTTTAATGAGACACTGTATTGGTTGGTTTCAGGTTTCTAAAGTCACCTTCACTGAGTTCTGTCAAGGTCGGACAATGAGATGGGCCTTAGCTTGGAGTTTTTATGATGATGTCACAGTACCAGTAAGTAGAGCCTTTGCTTTGGCTTCTTCAAATACCAGCACATGGTGGGTTTTATTAGGTCACAAATGAACTAAATCTGTATTGTCTCATTTCCCTGAGGTTTGTTCTCAAATGCTTATGGCAAAATGGAAAGTTGTTGGAAACAACACACAGTCCTGGAGGGCTGACTGTGATGGCTGTACAGCCTTCCTCTTTGGATTTGTGGAACAACATGAGTCTTGTTTAGCAGATAGAAATACATCTTTTAGGAATTAGAGATGCAGGTAATGTGGCCTATAGGAATACTTTGCAAGTGTAATTCTACTGGACATTACTCGGGAATTGAAATTAAAGTCTGTTTCTTTTTCTTTACCACTGCTGCCTACCTTTCAGTAGCTTTTAGTAGCTTACCTTTTAGTAGCTGCCTCTTGAGGTTCCTGGTGAATTTAGAAGTTTTGGGGTCTCTGTCTGCCTCTCTCTCCCTTAACCCTCTCTCCCTCTCTCTTTCTCTCCCTCCCCTATTGGGGACTGAGCTCAGTTCCTTACATATGGTAGGGCAGATGCTCTCCCCACTAAATTATATCACGAGCTTCCAAAGTTGCAGTTTATTGATGTGTTAACACTTAAACACCATTCATGTGGAGGGTTCTTTTTTACCTTTAAGATTAGCACTACAAGGGCTGGGGATTTAGCTTAGTGGTGCCACCACCTGCCTCGCAAGCATAGGGTCCCGAGTTTGATCCATGGTACCAAAAAAAAAAATTAGCATTAGAATATTGACCAATTTTAAAGTTAAATGATGGGACATTAGCCTGTTGTTCTCTTTGCTTTGTATGCTGGAATAGAAAAGTTTTAAAAAATAATTTGTTCACAAGAGTCTTTCTATCTTCCATACTATTGTATATAAAGGAAAACTACCTCTGAGCTGGCCAGGCTGAATGGCTTTCTGGGCTGTGCTAGGAAGTGGTAATAGAACAGCATCTTTGATCTCAAATTTCCCTCCATGAGTGGGTGACTTCTTTGGCCTTGTGTGTGTATTTTTTTCCCCAGTACTGAATTACAGGCATGTGCCACCACATCTGGCTATTTAATTGTGTAGGGCCACCCACTCTAAGCTTATGTACAGCTGCTCAGCATGTGTTCCTTCTTCCCATAGTATTTGTGGAGGCTTAGGACTTGCTCTTGCAAGTTTTCATTTCCAGTCCATACAGAAAACTTGTTCTGAGAGCTGTTCTTCCAAGGTCTTGGTGGTCCCTGGTTTCTACAGCCACTTTAGATGTTGCTGTGTTTCTCTCCCTGCTCCTGTAGAGCAGAGGAGTAGAGATGTGTGGAAGCACCAGGGTACAATTTGCAGCTGTTGCCTTGTTTCTGAAAACAAGCTCAAGTTAAACTGAGCCTGTCCTGTCCTTCGTGAACTCTACTAGGCGGGCTGCTGGATTGAAACCCACTCCTCCATTTGAATGGTTCCCATGGAAGCCTAGACTCACTTCTGGACAGTGAAGTAGGATACTTGGAAGTTAGTGTTTGAAGCCAGGTGTGGTGGGGCACACATGTATCCTAGCACTCGAGAAGCTGAGGCAGGAGGATCACCACAGATTCACTGTGTAACCAGCCTGGGTTACATAGTGAGTCCAAAGACAGCCTGAACTACATAGTGAGACCCTGTCTCAAAAAAAAAAAAAAAAAAAAAAAAAAAAAAAGATGTCTCTGCTTTTTTGACCCCCTTAAAGGATTATCCTTTCTATTGTCTTAAAGAATACCGGAACCTTCATACCAGATGGTTAAAATTGTTAGTAATGCCCTATGTTATTGTTATCCCTGTGCAGATATGAACAGCTGCAAAAAAGTGGAGCAGCACCTGGTTCCAAATGCTTTTTCTTAGCCGGCATCCCACATTTGTTGTTGGCACTGCAGCTGGAAGAGCTGACAGTGAGCTCTGGCACTGTGCACACCAGCTCAGACCAGTTACCCTCGCCTTCTTGGATTAGTAGCCGTCTCACATCCTAGTGTCAAAGGAGCGCTATGTTTCCATGTGAACAAAATCAGCCTATTTTTAAAAGGAACCCCTGAGCCTCCCTCCTGTCTTTTAGTGCATCTTACAGTCGTGTTCATAGTTTCCAACCAGCAAAGAATGCCTCTGGCTAGGAGCCTCAGATTTCTCCCATGCTAGAGTATTTCTCCTTCCCCACCATGATTGCCACCCCCAAGCTGTTAATAATGCATTCCCAAGTGTTCCATTAGATGCACTTAAACTGCTAGGCAAAAATGGCAATTTCTGATTTGTAGTAACCCAGCAACAGTTTCTTAGCACTGGTGCCCTTGATCAGCAACTGCTTTCCCTGGGGGTAGTCCCAGGTTACTCATGAGATGGGTAAGATTTTGATTTGGCTTTCCTCTTGGTTCACCTTCCCTCCACCTAGACCTCTCCCACCTTCTGTTTTTTTGAATAGCTCACCTGGTTTTCCCCCATCTTCCTCCTGTTGGGATGGGGAAGAAGGAAGATGCATTTGTACACTTGATCTTAGCCAAAAGGCCGAGAAACAATGGAAGATGCTGTTTTAGATAAGGAAAGGCAACTAAGGAATAGAACTAGTTAAGCAGAAATATTGACCTACTTCCCTACCCCCTCCCTTGCCATTTTAGGGTAAACGTGCAAGTTACTATGGCAACTTATGTTTTCACTTATCTCAGGCCTACTGACTTCGTTTCTGTTGGTGCTGAATGCTGAAAAATTCTAATTCACTGGTGATTCAAGTGCCTAGACTAAGCTCATTGCCATTGTCTGGATTTATTTTAACAACAAAAAGACAGGTCCTGGTGTTGATAGAATTTTTGTACCATCCTTTCTGGCTGATGATGAATATAGGAAGTGTATTGTGAGGACTGTTCTTTACAAGATTCTAGCAAGTCACTTGGAAAGCTTCTTTGTCCCAGTTCTCTAATTGCTCCGGGCATTTAGTTTTGCTTTCCTGCTTTAAGGAAGTTTGACATGTTAAAAATGGAGAAGGTTGTAGCTCTAGTAAGTAAACTGTACACTCTTGGTATGAGCACTGCCTAGGAATTCTGGTTTACAAAAGTATTCCCCTGTGTTCTAGGCATTTCCCTTAAGCCTGGGATTTTTCTGTCTAGGGAATAATAACCAGAAGCCTTTTTGGAGACCAGATGGAGGAGAGGGATAAAATTAATTAGGTAACCTTGTGGGTGTCAGAGCTGGGGTCTCCTGACAAGTGTTCTGCCACTGCTCCCTGGGTTAGAGCCAGTTCCAGGTAGCTGAGGGATTCTGAGTGGGTGCCCTAGGGTTGCCACTTGGGGCCAGACATCAGGTTGGAACTTTGGACCTCACTTTCATTTTAGACACTGCTGATCTGCTTTTATCAGTTGTCAGGTTGATAGGCATTTTATTTTGGTTACTCCTTCTAGTTGGTTGGGCTTTTTTTTGTTGTTATTCCTAAAGGAATTTTCCTTAGGAGCTCAGAATTTTGTTAAATTGCTTTCAGGGCCCACATGGTTGCTCTTTTTGATTCTAGGGATTGAACTCAAGGCCTTCGCGCAGAGTTACATCTTGAACCATTTTTATTTTTAAATTTGAGATAGCAGCTTATAAAGTTGCCCGTGCTGGACTCAAACTTGCCATCCTCCTGCCTCAGCCCCTCAGCCCAGAGTTCTGGGATTACAGATGTACCCCACCACACCTGGCCCACATAGTTTATTTTGAATGTCATCCAAGATGGAGTATCTTTGTGCTTTGAAAAGTGACTTTGTTTGTTTGAGACAGGATCTCGCTATGTAGTCCAGGCTGGCCTTGAACTCACTATATGGCCCAGGCTGGCCTTGAATTTGCAGTGATATTCCTGCCTCAGCCTCCCAAGTTCTGGGATTACAGGCATGTGCTTCTACACCTGGCTCTGATTGTTTTTTTTAAATAGCTGGACACTACTAAAACTATTACATGGCTTCTTAAAGTATTGTAGTAAATAGTTCTTTAAGGTGACTACTTTAAGGAGATAGCATTCTACTGACTGTAGACATACTGATTTATTTAAAAGTTACCCTTACTGATTTATAGTTTATGCTGTAGACATTTTGATTCATCCATTAATTTGGAAGTTCTTTAACAGTAGGAACTATACATTCTTTCATTATCCTGCAGTTCTTTTGAGCAGTTATGTGGTAGTTGGCACAAAAATATTTGCCAAGCAGACATCTGAACTATAATTTCTTCTCCCTTTTGCTACCTCTTTTCCATCAAGGCACTTTTATTTAAAGGAAGAAAGGAAAAATCACTATAAACCTACCATCCAGTTATAAACACTGTTACCAGTTTTGAGAATATACTTTAAGGATTTCTTTCTCTTCTAAAATTAAATTTAAAAAAAATTTTTTTGCAGTATTGGAGATTGAACATGGGGCCTTGCACATGCTAGGCCACTGAGCAACATCCTCTACCACTACCACTGAGTTACATCCCTGGCCCTTTATTTTTATCTCAGTAATACATACAGAAAGTTCCATGTCACATAGTTCAGATTTTATGAGAGAAGCAACTTCACACTGTTCCAGTCCCCAGAGAGAAACTGCCAGTGGCTTTTCTGTTTTCAGGGTGGCTCCCTCCATGGCTTCATCTATGCTGTCCAGTGTGAGAGCCAACAGCCACACGTTATGCCTTAAGTTAAAAGTGAGTAAGACTGAGAGATGGAGGCAGGAGGGTGAAATTTCAGGGCAGCCTGGGGAACTTGGTGAGACTCTGTCTCAAAATGAAAGGATGGGTGTAACTCAGTGGGAAAGCACCTGCCCAGCATGTGTGAGATCCTTGGTCTCATCCACAGCATGGTTTAAAAAAAACAAAAATAAAAAACCAAAATTTGATTTCTCACCCTCATTTTCTGTATTTCACATGTGTAAAAGCCACGTGTGACTAGAAGTTACTGTATTGGACAATGCAGATATGGAACATTTCCATAGTCACAGAATGTGCCATTAGGTAGCGCTATATAAAAACATTTTTATATTTATGTCTTTGT